GGACAATTCAGTAACGTCAATATTGATCTCTCTTTACTTTCAACTTGTGAAGTGCGAAATTCCTCTTTCTTGTACGAATTACACCCAGAATTACTCCCGGACCTACAAATCAAATTTTATATTCGCAGTTTTAGGAGTAATTCTGGGAGTAATTCGTAAAAAAAAGGGATTTCGCAGTTCACATGTCTATGAGTAAAGAGATTCCAATATTAATATTACTGAATTGTGTATTTATTTAACACCAAATGGACAGAATAACAAATGAGGGACTAAATTGAGCAAAAACACAAAAGTTTGAGACTAAATTGAGCGAAACACAAAAGTCTGGGACGATATTAGGTCACCAAAGTCGTTTAGGACGAAATTGAGAAAAACCACTATAGTCGAGGACGATTTTGGGTATTAACTCTTTTAATTAATTTTCTAGATAATTTATTAATTATTATGATTTTAAGGTAACACCAAACATGTTAATTAAATTTTCTTGTAAATTTATTTGTATCAAATATATTCATTGAAAATATTTTCGTTAGAATTTATAAATTGATGGGAAAGTATCAAATGCCCTTTAAGATTCCACCTAATGATAAATATTTGAGTTATTAATTTAAAAAATGATCAATTGACTATTGACATTTATTAATTTTTATTTTCGATTTTTAATTAGACCATTTTATGGTCGCTTAGCAGGGCTATTGATTTTGTTCCGAATTTGGTCATCCAGGTAAATTACCCATTTAATAAACAATAAATTTAAGAGTAATAATGTAAAATTTTAGATCTTCACATTCTCACGGATGATGATCCCAATGTATTAAGTTTATAAACCAAACTTGCCCATCTCAACAAAAAAATTAATTTTTACATTATTATCATTAAATTTAATATTTACTAAATGGATATTTAACTAGATGATCAAATTTGAAAGAAAATCAATAGTCAATGAACTATTTATGGTCAAATTAAAAGTCGAATATGAAAAATTGGTAAAAGTTTCACTTATGATTCAATTGAAAATCGATGACAAAAATTGATAAATGTCAATAGTTAAATGACCATTCCTGAAAATAACTCTTAAATATTTATACATTTTTAATTTTTAATTTCTTAAACTATGACTAATTCATTGCTACTTCAATTCTCTCAGATCATTACAATAATAAAGCAAGTTTTATTTATCCTTTCAAACTTGATTTTTACCTTAATTGTAATTTAATCCATTTGAATTGACGTATAACTAACACAAATGCTATTTGCAAAAAAAATATGCATTGAAATTTAATTTAAGCATGTTACCTATCCTCATGTCTATAAGTTATCTAGTCATACTACGAACTAATCAAACCAAAGTATGTTATAGTGTTTGTCTGTTAATTAATTATCCTTTATTGCATAATCAAGCTTACACTTCATCATAATAAAATTATATATCTTCTCGATCTAAAAGGCAAAGTACCAAATATTCACACTAATATTTTATATTGAGCGAGAATTGGATTTTGACTACGTAATAATTTTCAAAACATACCAGAAAGATAAACTGTACTAGGAAGACTCTGTATCACGAATTCGTCCAAGAAGATGTTGACAAGGATTGAATTTATGACCTTTTAAGTACGACAATCATACTTCAGCAGTTCAGCCACTTGACCACCTCTTAAGGGCCAATATACCATATTTTAAAACTACTGGATACTACAAATTTAATAAAATATACATATATACTACTTGAAATTAAATATTGTTCATTAAACGAGACTTTAGTAATGGTTATGACTATATTTTATAAATTTTGATGATGCTAACTAAATTGAATAGGGATTAAAATAAAAAAATAAATAAAAAAACCTAAATTGAATAGGGAATTTAGAACCCAAAAGGACAGGTAACTTTAGGGAGTTGTATTGGCCATATTTGTGATGCCAATTAAAAATGGAACACAATAAACATCATTGAAAGTTCTCTCCCCACATTAGAATTAAACTCCCCACGCAAATGAAGATCCTTAAAAAGAAAATGAAACACAAAAAAGAAAAAAAAAAATCAACAAACACATGATTAATTTTACATACATAACTTAGTTATGGAAACCAAATTCCGATGCAATTAGGGATACAAAGAGCATTATATAAAGAAAGATCATAGCCGAATAGGAATCACTAAAACCATAACTAATGTATTGATTTTATTAATTGGCCTTACTGATATACAATCACTAATCCCAGTTTTGTGAATGGGTTGTTAATAATATCGATGCAGTTTTTACAATCATTATTGTGTGGATGGTCAATACAAAATGTGTGGACCATATTTTGTATACTGTAAAATAATGTATATTTAGTATAAAAATAATGTACATTGTATTCAAGGGATGTACATTATTTTTGTACTGAGTGTACATTATATTGTATAATGTACATACAATACAAAAATAATGTACATTTAGTATATTAGAAATATACTTTTTGTTATGGTTCACGCAACATTGTGTGGACCATGGTCCACACAATAATTTGCCACAGTCCAATCATTATTGTGTGGACCATGGTACACACAGGTTGTGTGGACCTATTTTGTATACTGTAAAATAATGTATATTCAGTACAAAATAACAAAAAATGTGTGGACTTGACATGATTTGGATGAGTGTTTTAGAGTAACTGAATGATTGTATTCACAGTCAATTATACAGAACATACGAGATAGAACAATATACAGAAAATAACTTAGGAGATAGAGTCTCAGTAGGACACAACTTATAAGAGTCCTATTACACCCCCTCAAGCTTAAGGTGGGAAAGACACAACATTAAACTTGGAACGCAGAAGCTCAAACCGTGTAACAGACAACGATTTAGTGAAAATGTCAGCCACCTGATCTTTAGTAGAGATAAAATGAACCGTCAGCTCACCACTAGAAACCTTATCAAGCACAAAGTGATAATCTACCTCAACGTGCTTTGTCCTTGCATAGAAAACTGGATTCGCACAAAGATAAGTTGCCCCGTTATCACACCACAAGGAAGGCGACTTAGTAGGTTCCAACCCGAGCTCCTTCAACAAAGATACAATCCAAGTGACCTCCGCAACCACATCTGGCAAACCTTTATACTCTGCGTCAGTTGAGGACTGAACAACTGTTCGCTGCTTGCGACAGACCCAGGACACCAAATTACTACCAAGATATACAGCAAACCCACTCGTAGACTTGCGGTCCACACTATCACCAACCCAATCTGAATCAGAATAGGCACATAGAGCAGACGACTCCGGCACTACAAACGCAAACAAAAAGATAATGTACCTTTAACATACTGCAACACTCCCTTCAAAAGGACCCAGTGCGCTACAGTCAAAGAGTGCATATGTTGACACAGCTGATTCATCGCCAATGAGAGGTCCGACCTTGTCACTGTCAGGTATTGCAACGCACCTACCAGACTTCTGTACTGAGTGGGATTGTAATACATAGCATTAGAATAAACAGCCAGCCGGGCAACTGGTATTGGCGTGGCAAGAGGCTTGCAATCAGCCATACTCGCACGCTTCAGGATGTAAGTCATGTACCTGCGCTGAGACAAAACAAGACCACCATCAACAGACACGATCTCAATCCCGAGAAGAAAACTAGGCGTCCCTAGATCACGAATCTTAAACGTCGTTGCCAGACGACACAACAAAGTAGAAACTAGATTAGGATCACTCCCCATTAACATAATATCATCTACATACACAAGTAAAAACACCTGAGACCCATTAGTGGAATAATAAAATAGCGACACATCGGTTTTGGAGGCCTGAAACCCCACCGAAAGAAGAAAGTCGTGGAAACGCTTGAACCAAGCACGAGTAGCCTTCTTTAACCCATATAAGGACCGCTGCAAAAGGCACATGTGATCCGGGTAGGTAGGATCGACATAGTCGGGCGCTTGCTTCATATACACTATCTCAGCCAGGTGCTCATTGAGAAAGGCATTATCCACATCCAAGTGACGAAGAGTCCACTTCCAAGACAAGGCTAAGGATAGTAACAGCCTCACAATGGTGGGTTTGACCACCGGACTAAAAGTATCAAAGAATTCCCTGGCAATCTAATTGAAGCCCTTAGCAACCAACTGAGCCTTGTAAAGCTCAACAGACCTGTCTGCCTTATGCTTCTTCCGGAAAACCCACTTGCAACGAACAACATTAAAATCAGGACGTGCAGGCACCAAATTCCAAATCTGATTATAGAGCAAGGCATTGAACTCCTGGTCTATAGCCATACGCCACTCCAGATGTTGCGTAGCCTGAGTTTAACACGTCATATCAGAATGAACGGCCACCAGTGCCTACAACGGCTCATCATGCTCCATATGTTGAAGGACCATGGAATGGGAACGAGGCGGAGGCGGACCAACCATAGCTCGATGCCTGGTAGGCCGAGCCGGAGCCGTGGCGGCTAACGAGTCACTTCTTGGCTCAACAGGCAATGTAGGCGCCATACCAGGAATCATAGGAGGCATAGAAGTAGAAACCAACGGGCTAGCCCCCCATGAGCCCAAACTACCATCACTCGAGCCATCACGGCTCACCTGCACAGAAGACACCCTAGCAAAGGGAAAAACATCATCATCCAAATGAACATGACGACATATAAATATCTTACCTGTACTACGGTCCAGGCACCTATAATTAGGGGTGAGCATAAATACCGAAAAACTGACAAAACCGATGACCGATAACTGAACTGACCGAAAATTTCGGTTATCGGTTATAAGAAAAAAAAATTTGGATTTTCGGCCAATCGGTTATGTGATCAGTTATAGCCCATTCAAAACCTCGGTTACCGAATAACCGACGGTATATATATAATAATTTATTATAAATTATAAATTATAAATATATAATTATAATGAATTAATGAGGGCTGAGAGTGTGAGACACGTGTAATGACTATCTAGTATCTACTAAGTCACTAACCCTTAAGAGTTAAGTCCAGTCTATTCGTCTCTCACTCTCTCTACATCTATCGCCGACTCGCCATTCGTGAAGACGCGAACCCTCTCCGCAGCCGCAGCCGGCCAGTCGAGGCATCGAGCAGCGCCGCTACCACCGCAACCCTCTCCGCAGCCGCAGCCGGCCAGTCACGCTCTCACCGTCACTCCGTTAGGCAGTCACCAACTCATCTAACCATCACTCCGTTAGGCAGTCACGAACTCATCTCACCGTCACTCCGTTAGGCAGTCACCAACTCACCGCTGGTAAGTTTCTCTCCACTTCTCCAGTATTTCACTGATTTTTTTTCTATCTCTCTATAAATCTCCACTTCTCCGCTGCAGCCTTCTCCAGTCTCCACTGTTTTTTTTTTTTTTTTTTTTTTTTTTTTTTTTGCTCTGCATTGTTTCGGGACTTTCAGCTCCAAAATTCCAAGATCCAGATTCCAGATTCAAGGTAATTTCTAATTTTTGCTTACTTTTAATTTCTAATTTTTTTTTTTACTTTAAATTTTTTATAAATTATGTTCATGTCTGAAATGTGAATTGTGAATTGTTATGTACTGATGTGTTTATTTTGTTGTAAATTATGATAAAGTGATAGAATAAAACTGCAAGTTGTTCATTTTGCTCTGCACTGTTTTGAGATTTATCTTGTTGTGTTGGGGTGGGAAAAAAGTAACAAGCTGGTTCCAATTTAGTTGGCGTTTTAGTTGGATTCTTCAATCTTCAATCTTCAATCTTTAATCTTCCTCAGTATTTTTAAATTAGTGGCGGCCTATCCTATCATATAAGCTACTGGATGATGATATTTGCATTTTCAACACCTCTTGTATTCACCTAATATTTCTTGTATCATTTCTGGGGGTTGTTACTTGTTACTAGTATGTCTCTATTGATTCAGGCATTATTGAGAATGAAATACATTGGTACATCATACATATGATAGTGACCCTAGTCAAACTGAATTGCTTGAAGGGGAAGGACCACTAGGTTGTGTGAAGTATAGTGCTGAGGCACTTAGAAAGAGCATTGGTGAAATGCTTATAAATTATGAAATCCCCTTCAAGTTTGTTGAATTTAAGGGTTTTAAAAAATGTTTGTCTATTGCTTGTCCAAGGTTTAAGGTTCCATCGCGATGGACTATTGCTAGGGATTGTTATGGTATGTATTTGGAGGAGAAGCAAAAGCTGTCTAAGTTAATCCATATGTCTTCACTTAGGGTATCACTTACCACTGACACTTGGACATCATTGCAAAGGGAAAATTATATGTGTCTAACTTGTCGCTTTATTGACAATAATTGGAGCTTGCAAAAAAGAATAATTAATTTTTGTCCAATTAATAGTCATAAAGGTGAAGATATTGGTAAGATGATTGAAAAATGTTTGCGTGATTGGCCAATAGACAAGGTTTTCACAATTACCGTGGATAATGCTAGTTCAAATGATGTAGCTACTCAATACTTGAAAATGAAATTGAACAATGTTAGTGAACTATATTAGAGGGAAAATTTATTCACATGAGATGTGTTGCACACATTATTAATTTGGTTGTCACGGACGGGTTGAAGGAAGTGAATGAATCAATTGCTCGGGTTAGATCCGCGGTGAAGTATGTGAGGCAATCACCGGCTAGATTGCACAGGTTTAAAGAATGTATAGAATTGGAAAAAATTCAATCTAAATCTTTGTTGAGCATGGATTGTAACACTAGGTGGAATTCCACCTACTAGATGTTAGATGTGGCTCAAAAATTTGAAAGAGCATTTGAGAGATTTGAAGAGATTGACCACAATTATAAGCATGAGCTTGTGTTGAATGGTGGCACACCCAAGGAAGAGGATTGGAAAAATGTTAGGAAGATGAACAAATTTTTGCAACGTTTCTATGAATTCACATTGAAAGTTTCTGGAACTACATATGTGACTTGCAATGCTTACTTTCCTGAAATTTGTGAATTGTGTTGTACTTTTTGTGATTGGATTAAGAGTGATGACGAACAGTTTAGCGCTATGGCCAAAAGAATGAAGGAGAAATTTGACAAATATTGGGGGAATGTGGAGAGGATGAATATGATACTTTATGTTGCAACTGTGCTTGACCCTAGAAAGAAATATGTGTTTGCTGATTTTTGTTTCAAGAGAATGTATTCACTTGATCAAGCTTCAGTGTTGCCTTCTAACCTTAAAGAAGTGACTAACAAGTTGTTTGTGGAATACCATGGGTTGGTGAAAGTTTCATATTGTGAGGGTAGCAATTTTACTCAACCAATGACAATGAGTGCAACTAATGCGGATGTGAAAAGTCCACTAAACATTGTAACTGACTTTGAAAAGTATTTGGCTGAAATTGGACTTGGGCAGCAAAACAACGAATTGGATAAATACATGAATGAAGAGCTTGATACTCAGATTGGTTGGTGGTGAATTTGATATTCTCTGTTGGTGGAAAGAAAATGCTCATAGATTTCCCGTTCTTTCATGCATGGCTCGTGATGTATTGGCAGTTTCTATATCAACGGTCGCATCTGAATCTGCATTTAGCACGGGTGGACGTGTGCTTGATACTTATAGGAGTTCGTTAACTCCTAAAATTGTACATGCTCTTGTATGCACTCAAGATTGGTTACGAGAAGAAAACGTTATTTCAATGACTGATTTAGTTGAGCATGATGTTAGAGAGGTATAAATTTGGCGTGGTTGAGTATCAAAATCATTACTTTATTTTAAATATTATAATTTTCTTATTGTTCTTTCTTTATGTAATGTTTGTATTTTTATATGATTTAGATATGTCAAAGTTGAGTTTGGATCATGTGATTGATTAGAAAAACAAGATTCAAGAAAAATATAATTGACTGTGTAAGTTAGTACTGCTATACTGTATTATTTATTATGTATTAATTAATTATTATCATATTCATATATCATATATTCAATTTTGATTATCTTTTGATGCAAGCAGGTGATGAACTCTGGTTTTGGAATTTGGAAACATGTTGATGAATGATGACTTGGTCACTTGGGCATGGATTGACAGATTGTAGACTTGTAGTGTTAAATTGCTTATTTTATTAACTATGTTAAATTGCTTGGCAGATTGGAAGTATGAACAATGTTAAATTGCTTATTTTATGAACTTGGTACTTGGTAGTGTTATGAACTTGGCAGTGTTGTATTATTATGAAGTATGAACTTGTTTATTATTTTATTTGATGAAGATTTGCAGAATTTTCAAGCTCACTTTCGGTTATTCGGTCACCACCATAACCGACCGAAACCGACTAAATCGGTTTCGGTCGGTTATATGCATAAGGGGGTTTTAAAAAGGTAATCGGTTATTCGGTTATAGGTCGGTTATTGATCGTAACCGATCGATGCTCACCCCTGCCTAAAACCACGAAGGGAGGACGGATAACCCAAAAACACACACGGAGATGACCGAAAAGCAAACTTGTGTTTGTTATATAGTCTGAGATAAGGATAGCACAAGCACCCAAAAACTCGAAGATAAGAATAAGACGACAAAGAACAAAATGACCTAAAATATGGACTATCCATGTTAAGAACAGACGACGGAACTGTTTGATAAAAAACACAGCCGCCTCAAAAGCGTAGTCCCAGTATTTAAGGGAAACCAAGCATTGAGCAAGCAGTGCCAGACCAGTCTCAACAACATGTTGGTGCCGACGCTCCACTCGGCCATTCTACTCATGCGTATAAGCACAAGACTGACGATGAACAATATCGAGCGAAGCAAAGACAGACCCTAACTTGCGGTATTCACCCCTAAATCAGATTGTATAGCTTTAATTTTACGAGAAAAAAGACGTTCAACTATCACACGAAATTTATCAAACACCGCATATATATCAGTTTTCAGACGCAAAGAAAACAACCAACAGTAACGCGAAAAGTCATCTACAAATAAAACAAAGTAATGATAACCAGTTAAAAACAAAACAGGCGCAGGGTCCCAAATATCACTATAAATAAGGTCAAGTACATCAGAAGTTGTAGATTTAACACAAGACAAAGGAAAGCGGGAAGATTTTCCTAACTGACCAAGAAGAACACAAAAAAGAAGAACTAACATCTAAACGGCTAACCGGACAAGACTGCATGTTTCCTCCTCCAATCAAGTTGCATATGGATTCACAAAGCCCTTGCCAGTTTTTCAATACCAACATTTCACCTCTAAGCTGGCATCCAAGACTTGCATGCTCCTACTTAAGGGGGGTATTAGAAGATGCGAGCACAACAGATCAAGAAGAAAGACAACCGCAAGGGCATTAGTGTAATAGCGTCTCCCTAGTTAGTTTCAACAAACTTTGCCGCCATGTAAAGCTAATAACACCTCCACTGAGGCTCAAACACACAACATCCCATATGAGAGTCCAACTCGGGTACACTATACTATTTAATTGAATTATTATGAAGAATCTATTCTAATTCTTTTCAATTTATTCAAATTTAAAGAATCCAATGTTATTTAGCAATTTGAATGATGTTAGGCCAGGGTATAAATAACAACACGATAATATTGATGCCTTTCATGGTCATACTTTTAAGTTTTAACAATACTATAGTCTGAGTATAAAGACATCGGTGCCAAATAGAATTATAGTATAAGGTACTCTCAACACATATCCTCATAGTATCTAATTCAATCATGCATATTAAAGTAAATTTTTAATACAAAAGACACCGCTATATATATACACATATAATACATACATACATACATACATACATACATACATACATACATACATACATACATACATACATACATATATATATATATATATATATATATATATATATATATATATATATATATATATATATATATATAGTGAAAGGTTCTCGTGCGGTTGTGCGGGTGATTAATGTGCGTGAGATTTGTACTCAATGTGTGTGAGTGTTGTGTCTAATGTGCCTGAGATTTGTACTTAGTGTGCGTGAATGTGTAAAATTCAGCAGAAAATATGAATGTCAGTTTCTCCTTTCCCAATGGGGTCGATCACCCTTCGCCGAAGTTCTCGCATGATTTACGGATAATCGAATTGCAGGTTTTTCGTATACGTCATATGTTTGTGCACACTCAATATGCAAGAACGAACTCAACATAGCAGCATAACATACATAAGCAAGCTAAGGCAGCACTGCAAAGGTTTCCAAGAGAAGAGAGAAACAGAAAGAGTTTATTGAAGGAAGAAGTAACAAGAAGCTTGTGCTTTAATGTACGTGAGTTTTCTGTTCTGCTTCATTCTGAGCTCGTAATTCTGAATTACTCCCGCACATTAAGCACAAATCTCACACATATTAAGCACAATACTCAGGAACATTAAGTACAAAACTCACGCATATTAACATGACGCACATTAAGTACAAATCTCAGGCACATTGAGTACAAATCTCATGCACATTAAGTATAAATCTCACGCACATCCGCACGGGAAGCAACAAATGCACCTAATCCCTTCCTATATGTATGTATGTATATATATATATATATATATATATATATATATATATATATATATATATTGTAAGTGTACAAATTTAGTACACATTAAAAACCTTTGTTGGCTAATTTATTTAGTTTTAATTTAATTCGATTTTAGTTAGATTAAAACTTTTTGGACCATTACTTATTATCTAATCTAATATTAATTAAAAGGCTAATATTAAATGGTTGAGATTGGAAGTCAGCTTTGGCGTGAAGTATGAAGGGTTCAAGACAACATTGTGTGGCTATGTTTGATTGAAGACTTTATGATGCTAATAATGTGGATCATGTGATGGGGTGAGCTTTACTATAAAAGGAAGACATCTTCTTTTGGAAAGTGACCAATTTTTGAGAATTCGATATTGAGAGAAAGGAATTTGCATTACAAAGTTATTTTATTAAATTCACTCTTTGCTATTAATTCGTGTGTGATTAAAACACTGAGCTGCACAGACAGTACCTGGAACAGCTCAAGCTTCGCTTGAAAATTCTCATGGCATGCACGGTTCAGTCCTGAGTAGGTGTTATGAATGGTTGTGGTAGTAAAGGCTAATAGCCATTTGTACTTACCTTTTGTATAACTCCTTGGTGAACAACTATAGTGGATTGGGTAGACGTGGGTTGCCCCGCAGACGTAGGAGAAGTGCTCCGAACTGCGTAACAATTCTCTGTGTTGTTATTTTATTTTATGCTTTCAAGTTCAATTATTTATATTTGATTAAATAACCTAATTAATGAACACGATTGTTGCATAAATTAAAATCACGTAGAATTCTAAGGTTCATCTTGTATTCAAGATTCACGGTGCAATTTCAATTGGTATCAGAACCTGCAGACTTAATTTATTAGTCTGTCGATCTGGCTATTTCGTGCCTCTTGAACTCAAGCTTTCAGCGGCCTTTATTGCTTTTCTTTAGTCTGTTAATTTGTTCAATCTCACGGATTGTTGTGTGTTACAGAATGGATCGTGTTAAGGTTCTTCCCTAGCTAATCGGCGACAACTACGCTTATTGGAAAGCTCGCACACGTACACATCTAAAAGCTCAAGGTGATGCAGTGTGGCGGTCCGTGGTGACGGGTTAAACTCATATGACTAAAGCCAGTATCAGTGATGATGGAACGCGAGTAACTAAACTTGAAACCGAATGGTCCCAATCTGAAATAACTAATGCTGGAAACAATGATATACTATTTAATCTCTTATCTATGAAAGTAAATTTCCTATAATTGCAGGTTATAACTCCGCTAAAGGCGCTTGGGAAGCCCTTGAGTCAACTTACGAAGGTACGACGTTTGTAAAACAATCGAAGCTGCAACCGATACAGTCCGATTTTGAAGAACTCCGGATGAGTGAGGATGAAACCATCACGAATTTCCACACACGCATTCAAGAACTGGCAAATCGGTGAACATTTTTTTCCAAGAAAAACTTGTTAAAAAAATTCTGAGGTCGTTACCACCAAGGTTCAGATTGAAAGTCACAGCCATTCAGGAACACGCTGGCTGGGAAAACAAAACTGTTACTCAGTTAATGGGAAATCTTAGAACCTATGAAATGGAAATTTTAACTGATCACACGAAAAAACAAAAAAAATGTAACTTTTGCCGCTGAAGAAAATAATGTTGTATCTGATTCAGATGAACCAGGTGATGATACTATTGTATTTTTTACTAAACGGTTCTCTAAAATTTTGAAACAGGTTTCAAAAAATTCGCGCAACAGAAATCCACAAAGAGGAGCAACATCATCCAAAACTAGCCCTAGGACAGGCTCGTTAGACTTCAATCAGTCTGTCTCACGTCCAGGGCAGTCCAAAGAAAAATCTAACAATAAAGGAATCAAATAATATGAGTGTGAAGGCTTTGGACATGTACAAGCGAAGTGTCCCACCTATCTCAGGCGCAAAAAGACTATGTCAGCCATTACTTGGAGTGACGACGATCCTGGCGCTGAAACAACTAGATCTAATGTAGAAGAAGTCTCCGGTAATTTTGTTGCTTTTACTGCACATGTTGCTGGATGTTTAGAACTTGAAGAAGGAGTTGACTCAGAGGGAGGTGAATATGTCTTAGCGGAAGATTTAGAATTAAATGCTTTATCTTTTGAAGTTGAGTTTAATAAGTTGTACACCAAATGGGAAGCCCTAAGAAAAGAAAATCGCAAATTGACTAGTGAGATAGGGATTGTAACAAATGCTAGTAAAGTGTATCAAACTCAAATAGTTGATAGGGATCTGCTTCTTAAAGAGGCATCTGCCCGAGAAGAGAGACTGAACAGGAGGTACAGACCCTGAAGCAGGAGCTAAGCACCTACAAACGACAAATCCAAATGATGGACACCACTTCAAC